ACTGCTTATGGATAGATTAGGAGGCCTTAAGATTGAGCCTTTGCTCAGATTTGCCTTCCCAATAATTTCTGGGTGTTCATCTAGGCTGAGTGTAAGTGCTTCAATAGCTTAATGAACTGGGATGTTAGTATACATTGATACCACATCAAAACTAACCAAAGCATCATCTTTAATATTATGTTGGCCCATGAATCTAGCAAATTCATATGAATGCTTCACTGATTATTTCCAATATTCACCCAATTTCCTTAGCTGTCTACATAAGAAACGTGAGATCCTATGCATCACAGTACCCTTGTTATTGACAATCAATTTTAAAGGAACTCCTTCCTTGAATATATGAAGACCAAGATGTTGTGGCCTCTGGTGTGGTCGCAGTCTCCTTTCGATTGATAGAAGTGGAAGGCCGTTAGCCGAAGGTGCCCTAGCATCCCTCTGAAAAAGTGAATTCATTTCCCACTTCTCAATTTGTCCTCTGTTTACACAAATGTTAAGCGATTCCCTAAGTCTGGTCTTAAGACTTTCTATGGGATCCTTCAGTTAAAGTTTGTAAGTTTCTGAGTCAGACGTTACTTTTTGCTGCCCTAATTACTTTGAGCCATCACTTCGGGTTTCGTGCATAAGTGAACACAAACAGGCGCATTCACAGACACACTCACATGCATCAAAGTTGACAAATGACCTTAACTAACCAAATAACTTAATACTTGATCAAAGAGGCCAGATGTAGAGTATATATACCACTTTTTAGGGATTTGCCGGTGCATTTTCTTGACTCGTTAGCTTGAATTTTGTTGTGACCATGTTACCTCGCTCTGATGATGTCCATCATATAACGGACGAAAGCTTTGCACCTTTTCACCGGAATCGAAGGAGATTGCCTCGGAAACAGCTTCAGCATGAACGTTTCAGTAAAACCAATCGACAGCTGTTCAAGAGGAATCCGCTGTCGTCTTCTGGTGGAACCGACCTTCGAATCTCTTCACCCTACACTTTCACTCGAAATGGAAGTAAACCCAACAATTATGAAACAATAGATTCCTCGAAACCCAACTTTTCTTCGCAGGCCATGACTTTCCCGATCGCTGCTTGACATACATGGCTCGGTTTTAATTCCTATTGGAGAAGCTGAGAAATTCTAGGTGAGGGCGAACATGTTTTGTAGGAAAATGCTTCTTTTTAGACAAAGTTAAGCGATATTCAATGCCATCGTGTGGTATATTTTTATTTATGTGACAAATTTACTCATCAGTCCTATATCATCTTAGGCTATCCCAAGTTACTCATTTTACTTAATTTAAGTACTTCCCTTTTACTCTACTCATTGCGAAAGCGGTATCTAGAAGCCGCACTCTTTGCATAAGATTTCTTATCCATTCTATTACATAATGAACGATATGCAACAGTTAATTTCATCATTTTACCCCACCAACCATACTATTCACTTTTATATGAATTATTTCTCCGTCCGAGATGAAACACAATTGCGTTTGACAAATATCTTCGTTGGGCCGCAAGCCAAATATCTTTTTTTCAAGATTGTTTGGTCGTTCAAAAGCCAAATTGCTATATCAATTTTTCTTAAACATTGCTTCGTAGATTCTCTATCCCTAAAAAAATACATCACGTCTTTTCCAGACAATTCTCGTGGCTTGACTCTCTTTACAGCTGATCAATTGGCCAAGTTTGATCCTAATTATCCTAACTCTGCTCCTGTGGAACCTGGACAAACAGGTTTGCGTAACCTTGGCAACACTTGCTACATGAACTCTGTACTTCAAGCTCTGGCCCATACTCGGGCCCTGGTAAATTACTTTCTCAACGACGTTACAAGGGTTGTTAATCGGACTAATCCACTGGGATATAAAGGAGAGGTTGCTATAGAATTTAGCCAATTGCTGTCTGCGATTTGGAGGGGCTCATTCCGGGATATTCGACCGATTGCATTCAAGGTTTGCCCATATTTCTTCTGACGACATCTTTTTACTTTTTAATGCATTTGTTTTTTTTACTAATTTATTCATCTTTACTGACTTTGCCAGCAATTCCTCTCGTTTTTTAATTCATTTTTTGGAAGTTTATTTCTGTCTCACTAGCATGCATTATAAATAATATAGATAATAAAGTCAAGTTGGAATAGATTTGCAATATTCTTCATCACACCGACAGTCCCCGTCCTATCTTTTACAGAGTTAATAAGTGACAATGCTGAATTTTATCCTCTATTTTATTTTGAAGTTTTTAAAGGCTAGAACATTTTTTTTCTTCCTACTCATATAACTTTATCTTATAGCAGCCATTGCTTCGTCATTATGCGCTTGCCTAATAAATATTATAGTTGTTGAGCTACTTCATTTAGAGTGAAAGTGTTGGGTGAAGAAATTCGCAGATATTATAGTTCCGAATGAATATTCTTTAGATGCACATAAAAAGCGTAATTATTCTTTATAAGAGCGCCAATATTTACTTTATTTTTATTTTTATCTCCTACTATGATTTAAATACGAATAGAAACTAGGTTTCGATGAATCTCCTGACATAACATTGTTGAAGGGACTAGTTTTCGTATGAAAGTGCATTAAGAAGAGATTCTTTAGTTGATCTCACCAGATGAGGACGGATGAATTTCGTTGTACTGCAGCCGTTTGGTTCTTAAACGATTTTCAGGTTGACGCAGTCCACGAGATTTCCTCTCTCGTTTCGGGTGAAAACGGGCTGAGCTTTTGTCCATCTTACATGAGACTTTTACAGAAATGACACCCAGCTCTGATGATGTCCATCATATGATGCACGAAAGCTTAGCCCGTTTTCACCCGAAACGAAGGAGGAAGTTTCGTGGACTGCGTCAATCTAAACATCGTATAAAAGCTAGATAACTGCAGTACAACGGGATTAATCCGTCCTCGTTTGGTGAGATTAACCAATAAATCTCTTCATGTACTTTTATAAGAAATGAAAGTCCCCTCTATGATACTATGTTTTAACCAAAAAGCAAGAATATTTTGCGCCCATTTTTAATTTATGAACGTTTTTCAAATCAAAATTAATCTTAGATTTGACGACCAAAATG